TGGGAGTTGAAGTCCACCCATCTTAAAGTTGCTGAGGTTGAGGAACCCTGATCTACAACACGACAGATTTCTTGCTTTTGTTCTGAGAATGGTACTTCAGCTTTAATTATTTTATATATCAGCATTCTCCAACTTGGTGCCCTCCAGATAGGTCGGAAGTCTTGTTGGCAGGGGATTACGAGAGGGAAACCAGCCTGAAGCACAGCCTACACCCGCTTGGGTATGCTTTGGGAAAAGGTGGCGCGCGAATGGAGAAACAAACCAACAGCCCCATTCCTGTCTTCTGTCCAGAATTACAGAAAGCAACAAACATGCCTCTTTGCAACAGCACGAACATCCCGACGTGAACAGACAGATTCAGTTCCCCAAACAGCATCAGCGTAGCGATATCAAGCACCGTCGATGCAGCCCAGCTGGATGACAGTTAATTGCCCCCACTGGCAAGTATTCCCCCGCCAATGCCAGGTTGATAAGAACGAAGAAAGAGCCTTAGGGTTGCATCAGGCCAAGGGCCCAACAAGCCGGTATTCTGCCCCACTTTGGGGCATCCGGAAGCAAGAGATGAGTGCCTGCTTCATGCCTGTGCCCTAGCAGCTGGGGTTTAGGGAATGCGGCCTGTGATTCCAGAGTCCAGGTACAGACTGGGAGTGATTGAAAGGAGGGGTATCGGTCCCACGGCGCGCTTGCAAGGCCAACAACCCTCAGGCAGCAATGACATCCAGACTTTGGCCGACCCTGCAGCTCACACACTAAGCAGCGGGGACAGTGATGGAAGGGTAAGGTCCCTCGGTGCTGGAGGAGGGACGGGGGGCAGCTCTGCCAAGGGCCCTCCAAATTTAGAAGGAGGCCTGTCGATCTACGCACAAGACCAGCCTGATTCTGCTGCCTCTTCTTACCTGTTAAGTTAGATCTGAGCTGATCTAGTTCATTTGACATGTGTGCAAACTGCAGCTCTTTTTGGTTTAGTTTTTCAAGAGTTTCTAAAGGAGGAAAAGGCAACAAGGTCAGAGTTCAGCTCCTCAAAGAGAGATTTTTTTAAAAAAAATTAGGAATTATTGTAATAGAAGCCCATTCCATCTCTCCCACCCATCTCAAAAAATTAAAGCAAGACTGCATTGATGAGAAACCCACCTTGCATAGATTTTTGTACATGTTCTGCCTCATCAGCAGCCTTAGTAAATTTTCCTTTCTAGAAGACAGAGAAGGGCGAGAAATACATCTGGCTTAACAGAACAACATAACCACACTGAACCGAGAGCAGCACCCTTACATCTTGAAATGTAAACAACCCCAAGCAGCCTTAAGCCAGGCCAAAAAAAGGCTCTTTGGATCCTTCGCAACATTTGGCTGCTCTTTAAGAATGAAAGCAAGCCTAAGGACATCGCTTGGCAACTGCAAATCTCCCAAAGATGTTTTCTGAAGATGACTGGAGAAAAACTGTGGTTTGATGCTGTCTGTAGCTAGGACCCCTTTCTCATCACATATTAAGTCAATGTATTGCCTTTCTGATACCGTATCTATAATCTGTGAATTGTTGCGCAGAAATATTAGGTCCTACTCACTGCAATGTGTCCCGGTCAAACTGGATCGCTGCATGCTTTCCTAGACCTGCAGCCATTGCTCAAGCAACGTGACGATGCACTGTCACATGTTGGACAACACACTGTGATCACACCAAGCGGCTTTTCTTGGGACAAGCGGGACTGCCTTACCTTTGAAGACCTAATGGACTCAGAACCAGGTAACTGACAGCCTGCCACCTCCCCTCTCAAAGCCCTGAAGCAAAGCTCTCGACTGGATCGGCCTGATAGCCAGTGGTTACTCACCAAGTCTTCCAGCTCCTTTTCCAAAGAATCTTTAAGTTGGTTGACGGTGCCCAAGTGACTCTCAAGATCAAGCAGTTTTTGCTCTTTCGCTTGCAGTTCTTTGACTAGACTAGCAGCCTAGCAAGGTGGACCAGGTGAGGGTGTAAAAACGAAAAGTTACCCAAAGCAAACTAATAAGGAAACCAAGGCGTCTGTGAGAGGGGCAGGTCAAAATGAAGGCGAAAAGCAAACAAATTCACGAACGTAAAATGAAAGGGAGAGGATGTGGTGAATGAATGGGAATTGCATCCAGAAATGACATTTATAGCATCAGGAGGCTTTAGGGATAGAGCAACTATTACGGAGATCTGAAAATCATTTATTCTAGGCTCCAGTTCTAAATTCTGAAATCCCTCGCTTGCTTTTGAAGTTATGACTAGGCTCACTCAGTTAAAAGGGAGACCTTTCACTGTCTTCTCCCCAAAGTGCAGAAGGCAAGAAATGAAAGCTTGAAACTTACTCTGCCTTACAGCCCCTCGGTACCAGAGGGAAAATCCAGACCACATTTCTATTCAGGATGGCAGGTCTGGAACTATGCCCAATATTACCTACCTTACCACATGATCAATATGTCATCCTAAACAGCCTTCCATGTAAGAAGCTAAGAACAGCCCTGCAGGTTAAGATGGAAGATCTATTTCAACCACAATCTTACATCTCATTGTGGCCAATTAAGGACCTTTTGGAAACTGAGCAGAGACTTCCCTGCTTTATATTCCATGGATTTGTCTAAGTTCCAATTAAAACCCTCCAGGTTGATGAACATCACCACATCTTGTGGCAAATTCCATCACAGAATTTCCTGCTGTCCGTCTGGAGATACAATGCCCATTTTGTGACTATTCATTATTTCACAAAGTTTGAAGTAAGTTTTCAAATTTGTAAAAAACAGACTCCCTCCAGCCAATACAAACTGAAATAAATGGAATGAAGAAAAAAAAGAGACAAAAATTTTAAAAAATCACACAAAATGGATGTTGGTACAAACCTGGCTACTTTCATTATTTCTGTCATTCTCTAAACTCTGTATCTTTTTTCCAGCAGCCTCAAGTTCCTTGCTAAGTTTCTCCAACTCCAGTTTACCTTCAGAATGGGCCATCTGAAGGGCATCAAGTTTCATGAGCTTTGCTTCAGTAGCTTTGATCTTTGCTTTAAAGCTATCAACGGCCTTAGCTTGTTCCTTGCACTTCTCCTGGAATCCTTCTAGTTCCTTTACCTTTATTTCAGATTCATGCAACTTGTTAAGCGTGTCTTCCATTTCCACCAGGTGCTGATCTTCTGCATTTTCCAGTTTGGTCTTCAGTGCTTCCAAACTTCTCTCCTTCTCTTCTGTGACCTCCAGTAGTTTCTTATTCAGGGCTTCGATCTCGTTCAGGAGACACAACCTCTCACTTTCTTGCTTCAGTTTCAAGGTAGATGTATCATTCTGATGTTGATCTCTCATCTTCTCAATCTCGACCTTGAGCTCTGCAAATTCAGCTGCCTGAATCCCAGCTCCTTTGCTGAAAGAGGTCTTCAACTCTTCCATTGCTTGCTGATGAGAAGCAATAGCAGATTCCAGCTTAGATTTCCACAATTCAATCACTTCTGAATTCTCTTTGCGTGCAGTGTCCAGCTTGACTTTCAAGGAGTTGTTCTCTTTTGCCATTCTTTCATTGGATGACAACAGGGTTTTGATTTCCTTCTGGAAGGATTCTTCACTGACCCCAAGTTTTTCCCGCAGAGACTTCATCTCCTCCTGATGCTCCTTGTTTATTGATGCCATCTTCTCTTGCAGAGTGCTGATTTCCTGCAGCAGTGAGAGAGACGTGTCCACATTGCTGACTAGTTTATTGGACTCTAATCTTGACCGCAGCTCAGCGACTTCTTTCTCCCGCAACACTAGATCTCTTTCCAGTTCCATGATTCGAGATTTTTCTGACACAGTGGCAACCTAGGATAAATAGCATTAAAAAAGGAGGAGAAAATATTATAAAAGGATGCATTGAAAGGGACAATGGGGTATTCTAAGTACTTCAGAGTACTAACATGACATCTTCAGTGCTTCTAAAGAGGCCTCAGGGTGGTGGAGCACACCGATAATCTAGAAGGTTTTTCTATTTTTGATGATATTGTTAGAGGAATCCTACATACAGTTAAAAGGACATGCAATTATAACATAATAACTTTCAATTCACTCAAAATGTATTTGCCTTCCTTTAAACCAAAAGCAAACATCCTCTTGTGGACTCAGATGTAAGTCTTGGCTCCAAGTGAAGAGTCAATCATCTGAAGTTAGTGGTAAGATAAGCAGGCTGTTAAAGTCAAAAGCTTGCAGCTGCAGCTTGCACATTACTAGAAGTTTGCAGAACACCTTTAAGGGTTCCTTAAAAAAGTGAAACCGTAAGGAAATGTCAGTTCCAGAACTGCTGAAACTTGCGACTATGTACAGATTGCAGGAGACTTCAAAATCCTAAGACCACAATGTCCTGCGTGTTTTGTTTAGAACTGTCAAGTGATGATGCAAAAACTTGCTTTGATTGAGCGTGGAGGCAACAACAGTGATGGGGATTAGGCTCCAATATTTAGGAGTCCACCGCTCTCTTGATATTTTAGGAACATGAACAATACATCTCAGACGAACACCTTTCAACGATTGGCTATGGAGATTTATGAAATCTCTCTGGGTTATAGTGCAAAATGTTCTTAATTTTGTTCAGCTGAATAACCCAGGAAGCAGCTGATGTGTGAATAGTGGGGGCCTGAATAAATAAGAAGTACAAACAGCCGGAATATCTCCAGCCAGGCAGTGACTATTGCCGTGATGGGAAAAAAAGTTGGATTGCATTGGGCCCGCTGACTGGAAGAAGCCAAACAGCTGTCTTTCGACAAATGAACAAACTCTAGAGATCTTAGCTGAGTGTACAGGAAGATCCTTTGCTATAGTTTAGCACTGAGTCCTGGCAGTTGGCTTCAAGAAGAAAGAGAAAACTCATTCTACTCAGTTTTCTCAAATCAAGATTGGAAGATCAGAAAAACAACTGAGCTGTACAGAGGACTGCACCTTCTGAAATTAGAATTGCTGAATTGAAATAAAGTTTTTATTCAAGCCTGGGCATGCAAAATAAATTTTTCCTGGTCTTGGTAAACTCAACTGCCTAGCACTATCTGTACATAATCTTCTTTTAAGCCACGTGAAGTATTTTCTCCCATAAATTGAGTCTTCAAACAAGTGATAATAGCGCTAAGATCTCAGTATTAATCACTTTTTTCCTAATGGGGAGACAAGGAGTCCATATAACAAAGTTGTGCATAGCTGCAAAAGGAAGGCAATTTGTTTGTCTGCAAGTAAGTTTGTAGTATGCATCAGCTATTCTGACATGCCTGAAGTTAAGAATGAGGGTTTAGTTGCTAAAAGCAGATTGACCAATCAGCACAGGTGCAGAACTGAAGGACTAAGGCCTTGAAGAATTCCACCCCAATATTTAAAAAAAAATAGTGCTAAAGGAAAGCAGGAGACATTTCCCATCTCTTGATGTGATTTAAATTTAGCTGATGTTCTACAACATCATGACTGGCTCTACATCTACTACCTAGTTTATCTTGGTTTGGTATGAGTTATCAGAAAAGTTTGTATAAGAATTCTCTAAAACTGGGGTTGCTGCTTGTCTGCTAGCAAACAAAGCAGAGAGCCATGAAATTTCAACCCATCTCCAAACCAGTTCCATGAACAACCAACAACCAGTATGAAGATCCTTCTTCACATGACTTCAAGAACTTCACGTTCAGCCAGGAGGCTAAATGAGTCCTCACCATGCGGATGAAGGAACCCTGAACGTTCACCAGCTCCTGAAGCCTGTTACTTGGATCCTTGAGGTTCTGACATCCCTTAGGCTTATTATTCCCTATCTGTTTCTGTGAAATTATCTTACCTGAACTTCACTGTAGCCTGAAAGCTAGTCCACAAAAAAGAACTGTAAGTTTAGCGGGGCTTGTATGTTTAAAGGCATGAGAAGACCAAATCAAGTTTAGGTTTTCCAAAACATAACCTGCGGCTTAGCTCCCACATCAGAAAGTTTCCCCACTGAACACTCTCGATCTCTTTCATACACGCATGCACACACCTCATGGCCATGTTCATTGAAACATAGTGAAGTCCATTACCCTAGTGTCTTCTAACTCCCTCTGGAGTTTGTCAGCTTTGGTCTTTTCAAAGAGAAGACTCTGCTCAAGCTCCTTAAGGCGGGCATGCTCCAGTTTGGTCTGCGTCTGTTAGTAAAAAGGGAAAGGAAGAGAACACAACAGTGCCACCATCACATGCCAGCATGAGAGGAAAGAGGAGCGACATGCAGGAGGCGCCACCAGCTGTCTTCTACCAGTAATGAGCAGCAGAAGATGGGGGGGAGCAAAAAGAAGGGGGTGGGTGGTAAAAATGAAAAAAGGAAAATGAACCAGGTGATACTTCAAAAGAAAGACTGATTCACAAAGTGCAACTCAGGGCTGATATACCGAGAGAAAAGGTGTGGATGTATGTACAGAAACAAAGGAGCACAACACACAAACAAAAAGCAACAGAGTCATGCAGCCAAAGTTACTGATCAGTGTGACATTTATCAGCACAAATTAGGAAAAGTTAATGCTCTGTCAGTCATGATTTATGCTCCTGGTGAGAAGAGGACAAGGACTTGTTTTCTGCTGTTCCTGAGGGCAGAAAGAGACTCTGTGATTAGCTTAAATTGCAGGAGCAGAACTTCTGGGAGGATGTGAAGAGAAGGGGAAGGGGAGCCTCTTTTGAGAGAAGAGTGCATCATGATAAGAGCTCATTGTGAAGAGCGTGATAAATCCCTCTTGCTGGAGGTCTTCAAGGAGAAGCTGGCAAGCCAGATGTTGGGGATGCCATGACTCTGAGTTTTGAACAAGGAGCTAGACTGGATGACCCCAACGTGAACCAGATGACTCTGGAACAGTTTCCCTCAGCCCAATCTCCTTCACCCACCTCCTTGAAAAAAAATAGCTCAACTTGACTGAACAGATTCCCTCCAAAATCTTACTAGAGGTTTCTTGGCAACGTTTTATGAGTAAGATTCCACAGGGGTGCTGATGGAAAGGAAGCACTGCAAATTGGGGGCAAGTCTTCCCCAACCTCAAAAGCTTAAACTTGGTCCAGCTGGGAAGAAGGAAGTCAGGCAATCTGAGAATTCTGCAACATTAAGAAACACAGATATCATCAATGTGTACGAAGCAGAGACTCTCCTGGAGCTTATCGAGATCCAGCAAAGATTTTAAAAGGGGTGCAAGACTGCTCCACTGAGTTCATGAGGAGTCACCTAAGTCAAGGGTAACCTTTAGGTAACACGCCCATACTGTAAAGGGTCTTCAAAGTCAACTGGCACAGAGGAATCCCCTTCCCCTACACTACAGGTCATTATAAAGATCCCTGAAATACATCCTTCTCCAACCGGGTCTGCTCCTGGGCACAGTGTGCTTCACGAGAACAGCTGGCTGTTGAACAAGCTGGGGAGAGAATGGGAGCAACATGAGTGGCACTGCCCCTCAACCTCCTACTCCAGATTGAATAAGAGGGAACCCACCTATAAAAAATAATCCTTATCCCATTTTGGGGTTTGCTAACAAACCCTGAATATCAAGGTAGGTAATTTGGTGGCCTCTAGCCACCGTGCCCAGTGGATTAGGAATTACAGAAGTTATAATCCAAGAGAACTAGAGACACCACTTGCCCAGACCTGCTACAGTTAATGAAGAACTCTACAGGTTTTCATGGTCTTGAGTCTTCTTCAGACCCAGCAGTCGTTTAGATGCCCCAAGACCCTTGTTTCTCCCAAAAGTTGGCAGCTGGATTAAAATGGGGGGATGGAGAAACAGATCTTAAACTTTTTGCAAGTGCTCAAATAAGTCAATCTTGAAAAACAATTTCAAGGGGGGGCTCCTTGTGAGCAAAAAAGACAGCTTACGTACCCTGCTTAGAAAAGATACGGATGCAGAAAGGAAGCATTCACAAAAAGGAAAAGAAGAGGAGCACACCGCATGCAGATTTCATTCGGCTACGCCACTGGCCTGATTTAAGAGGAGCAAAGAATCACAACGCTTTGCTGTGCAATCGGAGCGCACAAGGCCACACAGCAGGAAAGGAGTGCCAGGCTTAAGAATTCTGTTTTGTGCAGGGAAAAGGCAGACAGGTCCCTTCAGAGATCTTCTTGAAAACGCCACTGACTTTTTTGTGTAGGAAAAGGGGTGGGACCTAAAGTGTCCCTAGCTTCTTCCTAGGGGTCACACTGCACAATACGGGGAAATATAATAGAAAACATTATGTAAAAGGGAAGATCTTTCACTAAACCACTGAAAATTGGATAGCAAAGCGATGGGGAAAAAATGGAAAAAAAATGATTTCCCCTCCCCTGGTTGCTCACTTTATTATTTTATGGAATGGAACCAAATCTAGGGAAACACCCAACCTGTCCTACCCAGCCGAGGAACACCAGTGGACGTTCCCATATTAGTCAACCAATTCAAAGTTTGGTTGAACTAATCTCTCCAATGAAATTTCTTACAAGCTACTTGCACGGCTTAAGAATTAAGGGCACTATGCTAAGTTTGAAGGTTTGCATAAAAGCACCTTCTATGAATCCTGCCTTTCCTTCCTCATTTTCTCCTGCCGCTCACGTTCCTACGTCTTAAAAGCCGCAATGGTTCTTCAGTTCCATGCACACACAGGGGGAAGCGAATGTCCCAAGAACAAACTGTGTTGTTAGTGGTTAAAGAGCATCATCGACAAATGCTTTATTGGTAAAGAATCTGTGTTAAGGCTGGGAGAAGGGAGAGATGTCTCCACACGTTCAGAAGTCCTCTTACATTTTCAGGATCTTCAGAAATCTCTCTCTTTGGCTATCAGCAAAAATTAAGACAAAATGAGTCCACCAGAACATTCAATGTGAGGCTTCAAAATACAAGCAAAAGGGGGCGAACAACAGTGAGTCGAAACGGGGGGAATTTACACCACTGGCTGCTCTCAGTCAGATTATTTCCCCTTTTCCTTAAGGACGTTGTGAGATTTACCTGAAACAGAGACCAACTAGAGCAGGGTTTCTCAACCTTGGCAACTTTAAGAGGTGTGGACTTCAACTCCCAGAATTCCCCA